GCAAGGCTTGAGAAAATGGAGTTTTTGTTGGGCAATGGAAATTTGTCACCAAGGAGAAAGTGAATAAGAGGCTGATAGTTGATGACTAATCTCAATTTGCCTCCAACTTGTTCAGCTCTCTTATTAATATAAAAAGCCTGGCATGCCCATTGAGAATTAGATGGCTCAATAAACCCTTGTTACTGTAAGTCTTTACATTTTTCTTCAATTAGCTTTTGGTGATCTGGGTTCATTCTCAAATGACTAGCCTAGGTAGGATTAATGTCTTCATTAAGCTTGAATGGTAGCTTAATAAAGAACTTTGAGTTCTTCCATAAAGGATTATTGCATTTGAGAAGGAACTATGAGTGAAAATTAGCACATGTTTTCTCTTTGAGCATATCAACTATCATTTGGCCTTGATTTAATGGTTGTTAGAAAAAAGATAATCTGGGGAGTTGCACAAATGGTTAGAAAAAATATTTGTACCTTATCCCCTCAGAAAGAATCCTCAAATGCTGGCATTGATAATAAATGTCAAAACCTATGACGATATTTTTCCCAGATATTTCTAACCCAAGAACTTGAGCGGTGATAGAGCATGGGGGAGAAAACTAGATAGTATCAGGCTTACTGATCAGATGTGTAGTAAATGTTTGATCTTAGCAGTTTTGAAATGTCTTTCATTAGGTATCTAGAATTCTGGGGGAAGTATCCAAGGATTCATTATTATTTTTGTTGCTCCGGTGTTGAAAAAGGCTATTGCTAGAATAGGCTAGCTATATTTTGAAGGGTAGATGGAAATAGGCATCGAGGGTATTGGTGGTTCAAGAATTTTTTGAATTTTTAGCTAGGGAGGCAATTTGTCTTGAGGTTAAATTATGAAGAATTCTTCAGTTTCTATTTCATCATCTGGATGTAAGACCAAGGTTTGAAGAACAAATAGGGTTTTGTTTGTGGGTTCCTCTTCGAGTGAGAAAATTGACTCCAGGTCATTATTCTCTAGATTGACTCTTGTTTTCTGCTAGATTTCTTGGAACATCTTTGCTTTTTCCTTTTTGTTGGCAGGGCATCGTTTGGTAAAGTGTCCTTATTGATTATAGATAAAGCACTTAGTTGTTTTAGCTCTGTAGCTTGGTCTTTTTTTCTTAAGGTATCTGCACTTTGTTTTGTACCTCTAATAGGGAGGAAATCTCTTGGAAAACTTAAATTTTTTAAAATGTTTTTTCCTTTTGGTTCTGCAATCACAAATTTAAGCTTTGGAGCATTTTATTTGCCATTCAGGTTTTTCATAAGCTTTGTCCAATTCTTTATTTTTTGCAAGGTAATCTTATACCACTTTTCTTCTGTGATAGATATCTTTAAGAGCAATGTGGATTTCTTGTTGTATTTCTCCAAGGATTAATGACAAAATTTCCTTCATTTGTTGCTAAAGTGCACTTGTAACTATTGTTTGAATAGAATCTGGCAATGAAGAAAGGAAAATTTGTTTAAGACTTGAAAAAGCTCCAATAACGTAAAAGAGTTTCAACATCTTTTGGAAGTGTCTATCAAGATCCAACCTTTTGTATAAGCAACATTTTTTTTGGAAAAACTTCTTCAATTGTAAAGTTTTGACATCTTCAACATTTTCGAGAAAATACATGTGGAGAATTTGAATATCTTGGCTGAAGTCTTGTAGAACTAGAAACTGCATTTGGTCTATTTGGCTAATAGTATTCCACTAATTTCTCAAGGCTCTAGTGAATTTGGATAGGAATTCCATTAAAATAGTGTAGTGGCTTTCTTCAAATAACCTTCTAGTTTCTAGCTATGCATGGAACTCTTGGAACCTTTCTAGTCATTTTGTCTTTGGAATGTCATCATTGGTGAATGTTAATTTTGATACTATTGGTGCTGCTAAATGTCTCAGGGCATAAGGTGTTCCTCCAGTATCATCATCTGTATCTATCTCTTTAACTTTTATTCCCGAACTGCTTGCCATGAATTAAGATTTTTTAATTTTAATAGTGATTCTTCTTCAGAATGTGTTTTATCATCTATGTTTGATAAGGATTTTAAGGTTTTAGAAGAAGTTGAGGATGAAGAGGTTTAGCTTATCATCTGGAATTGCTTGCATTGAGAAAATCTTTAAGGTTGAAGTTTCTCTGTATTCTTTAAGAAAAGAAGTCAGAGAATTTTCATGTTTGATCATTATCGCTTTGGGTTCTTCTTGGTCTTTGATGATTATCCTAACCGTTGTTTTGATTGTGGGTCCTCCATCTCTTTTTGTATTGGTTTTTTTCCCTATGCCTTTTTTGTCAACTTTTCAGAAGTTTTTTCTACCTCTTTTCTTTTTCTTTGTTTTTCTTCCTCTTCTTTCTGAGCTTTAAGCGTTTTGTAGAGGTCGAAAAGAGTTACTTCCTTAAATGGAGGTGGAAATTTGAGGCGTGACCCTGATGGTTCTTCTAGGATTATTGGAGACCATATTCGAATTAATAATCGAAATGGGCCATTTCTATTTAGAGATGGGATTCTCTTGTTTTCTTGGAGGAGCTTAATTTAAGCTTTAAGTTTCTAAATCTCTGCCTCTTTTGGTTCCATATACAACTAAAGTACAACACCTTATTCTGGAGAAGTTTAATCATATCATTGGCAACCTTGGTATTCTCATCAACTTTATCTTCCACTTTTCTGATTCTGTCTTGTATAATAGTGACCTTGTGCTTAATTCCTTTAAGTAAGGAATTCTATGCAAAAGAATTTCTGTTTGCCAATTTAGTGTGGCTTCTGCTGCACTGAGCTTGGTTGGTCTTTCTATAGCATTTGCTTGGAGTGGAGTAGAAATTTTGGGTGCATGTTTGTATTCATTTTTTTAGAATTCCTCTAGTGGAGGAAATTCATGGTTATAGGAAAGATTTTATGGTTGGAACATGCAAACCTTAGTAACCAATGGGCATTTTTGAGGTTGTTGATAGGTTTCAGAGCAACCTTGTTTTTGGATCTACTTTTGGATCTTTTTATAGAAAGGTAACATAGGTTTTGGAGTTCATAGAGGTAGTTACTTTTGAGAAAAAGGTTCTGATACTTTTTTTTTAGGTTGTGCCCATTTTGGAAGAGAATATTTGAATAAATATTAGTACTTTCCTTCATCTTCCCTTAGAGTTCTTATTAAAGGATCGTTATCTTGGTATTTTCTATATAATTCTATGTCAGAACAACTTTGCCTCTTATTTTTTGACCTTTTAGCTGAAGCACGATTTGGTTCGTAGTATGCTTTGAGGCTTTCTTTCAGGCAACCTTCACAATTACAATTGATGTCCTATGGACAATGTTCAGATGCATCTGTAAAGTGGAAAACAGGTTTTCCTTCATGGTCAAAGCTTTGGATAAAGGCTTGTTTTGGACTAGGCTCATCTTTTACTATTCTGAGCATAAACATTGTGAAGAAAATTGGTGGTGCTGAAGGTTCCTTTAAATGGGAATGGTCAAATTTGATCTCTATTGTGCCATCTGCTTTTTTGGTGAAATAAGTTTCAGTGGATTGGATAGAACTTGCTATTTCATGAAGCTTTTCGTAGTTAGTTATCCATTTTTTCGGAAAAAACTTAACAAGATCATGTCTTGGTATTCTCCTTGGAACAAATGAGTAGTTGGGAACTTGGGTGGTGTTTATGGACAAGACTAGTGCATCATCCAAGTTGGTTTGAAGTCTGGAAAGAATGAATGCGTGGTTTTGGGTTCTATACACCATCTGATAGTGAAGTGTTGCTACAATAGCAGTAGGTAATTGTGGAGCACCTATTATTTGGATTTGGACTTTTAATGCTAAGTGTAAATTTGGATCACACAGGGCCATAGTATAATTTGGAAAAAGAGTCAGAATAATTGTTCCCATGTTAAGAGTAGCTTTAACAATTCAATGCATGCATTTTCATACTTGATATATCTTGTGTCAAGTAAAGCCATGCGAGCCATAACTAGCTAACCTTTACGCCTATGATAATTCAGAGCTAATCTAACTACACCAAAGTGAATATGAGAGTATCAATGTTGGATCTATTGTTGTGGAAACTCTAGTGGAATTTGTAAAGTGACAAATTGTTCAATTTGATCACTCCTGATGAAATGCTTGTCGAATATGATAAGTAGAATAAGGGCTAACAAGAGGTATCTAAGATGATTGAGTTTTTTCTTCTTTTGAGATATAATATACTTCATATAAAAAAAATTATTTTAAAGGTAAATCTTCTAAAAGAACATGAATTTAAGAAAATAAAAGCCCTATTTATAATAGCAAATTTTTCATTGAACAAGGTCATGATGAAAGGATCCTTCTTAACTTTTATTAGGAAAAATATAAGCATTGATCTAGGAGTATGGTTATGATAGCCAAACGTTTAATTGTGCCTCTGACATATTAAAGCAAAAGTGATTGCCGTAAAAAAAATATAGAAATCGAGAATGGAAATGAGGTTTGGTGCGTCTCTCGATGGGTGGAAGCCACGCGTAGAACAAAGCCACGGATGAGCACATCATGGTCTAAAGTGTGTTGACATTAAGATTTTTTTTTTATCTCTAAAAATTCATTTCACTTTGAGCAAAAGAATAAGGAAATGTGATTGGATGCTTTTGCAACGAGCGGATTGGAACAAGAGTGATTAATTAAGCAAAGTTTACGGTAGTTGGACCGCAGCTGTCAGGTAGTCATTGTGTCTCATGAATTGATACTTAGAAGGTCCGATCCCTAACACATTGCCGGATATCTGATGACAAGTTAGAATCATTCTTTATTACTCACAAAGACCCTCACTGGTTATTGACATTTTGGGTGTGTCATTTTTATGTTTGTTTTTTAGTGAAACCTATACATCATCGATCAGGTATCACCTAAATATACCGGCTAGTTATGAAAATATTTCTTAATTGTATCATAACTTGCTTAGATTCCAAACTAAATGCAGAAAAGAAAGACCACATAATCGTGAAGCACAAAAGAGAAAAAATTGCACAAAATCCAAATGTTACATTGGTCGAAAATGTTGGAACTTGAATCTTATCTTGAGAAAATATTGATTATGATTTCATATGGTAGATAGGCAAAGGCATGTTTTTAAATATACCAAAATAAATTTGTACCATGATGATATGGCATTCTTCAATCATCCACCGGCCATTATGTAATAAAAATACGGAATATATGTAAAGATTTGAAAATTGAAAAACACATGAGATATTTATGTCAAATTTCGTGCCGAGGTCAACCTTGGGTAATGGTTCATTTCACCCGACGGCAAAGGGTGATTCCATCACCCACCGGGAGCATGCAGATCTCAATCCTGGGGTCAACAGCAAGAGCCTTGTTGAGTTCCAAAACAAAGTCTCTGTAATACCTGACGTACTTCCTCAAAGGAGCATCAGGGGGCGCTACCACCGAGCCATTCCATAGGGTGTTGTCGTAGCCGATCAAACCACCTACTTTCACCAGCTCAATTAGCCTCTTGTGGTAGTTTATGTAGTTGTCCTTATCAGCATCCACAAAGATGAAGTCATAGGATCCGTGATTCTTTTCCTGCGAAAATTTCCCATATAGAACAACTCTCAGTTCGTCGATAATTCCGAGGACAAAAAGAAGTTTAAAAAAATGGATGGGGTTTAGTGAAATTTACATCTTCGACTAGTTGATCAAGAACTGGCATAGCAGGGCCCTCTTTGAAATCAATTTTGTGTGCAACACCAGCCTTTTGGATAACAGGCAGACCCAACTCGTAGTTTTCTCTGTTAATGTCCATGGCCAAGATCTGCAAACATTGAAAAAAACGTGACTTTAATATCCTGTGTCCTTTAAGGACTGCTTCTATTTTTGTGTGTCTGATATTTTAGTCTGCCGGATAAGAGCATTTTTTGTCTGTTAAATCTTTAACTACCTTTCCATCGTCAGGGAGAGCAAGGGCTGTGGCTAAGAGAGAGTAGCCAGTGTAGACGCCAATCTCCATGGTGTTCTTGGCGTTGATCAGCTTAAGAAGCATGTTCAAGAATTGCCCTTCATCTGCTGATGTAGTCATGAGATTCCTGTTTCCATATCATTCCAGTCAAACCAACAATACTTAAAATCCCAAACCAGAAAAAGGACAAATATATATATAAAAAAAAGACGACGGAGGCCCATAGATATTTAGTAACTATAATTCGAGAATCTGAATCAAGAACGAACCATGGATGCTTGGCAGTCAATTCTCTGAGCTCCTTCATGGGTTCAGGCTCTCTTGGGTACACACTAGTCTCAAGGATATACTGCAAAACCAAAATCCCATTAATAAAATCAAAAACTAACGTCAAAACATTGATTACAAATGAGAGGTTCAACATAATCAAAGCAAGAATTTGGATGCTTAGAGTTAATGATGATACCTGATAAAGGGCATCACTTTGCAAAAGACTCTTGTGGCCAACCTCCTGGTGCCTACCAGCCTGAGATTGCTGCTCTTGGGTATTAGTTGCCATTGGTACAAATCTCCAAAGGTTATTCTGTTGCTTCCCTGTTTTTCTGGTTTGAGAGAGCTTTGATTCCCTTGCAAAGGCAACCTGAGTTGGGAGAGGAAATCTAATGGGCTTTTATGGAGGTTGTAAATCCGGTTTAGACCGCGTTTTTTGGTGGTTGGGCCGCCTGCCAACCCGGTCGGGGGTTGGTAAAGCCCCAAAACCGCATGAGTCTGAATTGGGTCCCATTCTTTCACCCTGTGGCTGTGGCTGTGGTACAGGTCGAAAGTAGGCCAATTGTGTCATGACTTGGTGATGAGGTCAATCCGCGAATAATGAGAGCAATTTCTTGCTTTCTTGAGCTTTACAATATACCAAATTTAAGTAATTTGAACCTAATTGACTTATTGGAGTAAAGAGATTTCTACACTGAGATAATTGTATATTCAAGAAATTTATAGATACTTGTACCGGATTAGCACCATGTAAATTTATAAAATGCTCATCTGTTTAGTTATAGATACCATTATGTTTAGTCATATTACTAATTCATCTTTACTCAAAATATAGTAGCAGTCCTCCTCTAATGACAAGTTAGGTTATTAGTTATCAACCAAATGTACTAAAAGCAGAGCAAGCTTAGTTTCCATGGACAATATTTTCTTATGAAGATTAGGAAAAATTATTCAAAAGTTGGTATTAGCAAGTTTTTGAGTGGATGGTAGTGGTGGGTTCCACCAACTTTGTTGTTGGTTTATGTATATGTGAGGCAAATAGGAGTTGGTAAGAGTTTGGTGAATGGAGGAAGCGATGTAGAAAAGAGGGGGAAACCGATCTGAAGGGAGTTGGTGTTGGATAAGGAGGTAAACTGCTTTTGAGCAGCAAAATTAAGTTACATTTTAGCAACTTTCTTTTTTTTGCTCTATTCTTTTTATGGGTAAGGGCTTCTTTTCGTTTATAAATTAGGTATTGTACATCATCCTGGAACTCCATTTGTCTTTGAAATTCCTCCTCTTTGCTTTCATTGGAAATTTACCATAGTGAAGCCTCAAATTTAGGCTGAAATGCCCCATTTGTCCTCCAATGTGACAATCACAGTGAAGCTTTTTCTACCCAAGGTGAATGAAAAAAAGGGGGTTAAAAGATTAAGAAATTGAAACAAGTTTACCTTACCAGAAGTTTCTCTTGAATTCATGCACAGGCAAGGCAGCATTGTTGGCCAAACGTTACGTTTTACATTCTAAAGAAGAAACGATACACCACCATGTTTTATTTCAAGGATAATGCCACAATTTTGCTCTCACTCCCGTCTTAATTTCATCAGTACTCAAATGTTTCTCAAAAAGTACTAAGGTTTTGTTACAAAATTAGAAGCCAATAAAGACTCCTTCAACTTATATTCTAGGTAAGGGTATGTAATTAATTATAATGAGAAAATATTGTGGGGGGGTGGTTTTTCAAATTGAATACCGCGTTTGGTGAAGATGAGACAGTTCCATTGGGTTTGAGTCAAATCTTTGGTGCTAACAACCTTCTGCCTTTATCTCTCCTCTTTCTCTCTTTCTTATGGGGTTGCCTGCTTCTTTTTCTCTCGTGAAAATAGGCAGCCACTAAGGCAGCTGTTTTGTCTATTTTTGTATCAATGATGTAGTTGGTCCCTAGTCCGTAGCTTTCCTTCAAAGGGACCATCCCAATTACCTAACCCTTTACCATTAAGCCAGCGGCATATTGGCACCGCAGCTATAACGAGCACACACATTCCTTCTTTATCTTCAAAGTTCGCCTTTTGGCACTTGCATTAAACAACTTTTTGTCAATTTTCTACCGAACTTTGCAGATTCGTGTGGCCTGTATTAATTCTTGGCAATCGTCTTAAACACTGTCGTACGTTTAGATTTTGCTAACGCTCTTCTGGAATTGAATCCAACACCAAATAAATCAAAAATCAGATGTTAAAGATTAAACAATCCTAAATTTTCTAGAGGGTTTTGACTTGTGATCATTTGCCGAACCTTTTGAAAACACAGAAGGAAAGAATCCCATCTAGCCATATAACAGATGTTAAAGAAATGAACCCATGCACATGCACCGAGTAACAACAAATGGGAAGAAATGGTCAGACTTGTTTCTCTATATATTTTCCTTTATAGTTAATTAATGATTTTGTTAAGAGGTCCACATCCCGTATAGATTCAAAGGAAAAAACACAAAATTCCTGCGAACAAGTGTGTATAAATTATAAGATCAAATAGTTGAAGAATTCCCTAAAAACTAAAAAACTCAAAATTAATAATGCACGTGAATATATAGTCAGAGAGAGTATTAGTATTAGAACTGTTTGGAATCTTAGCAAATCCGATAATTTACCTTTAATATTCAAGAAAATGAAGCTTAGGCAGGCATTATTTGCAGTGTGGAACTCCACAATTAGCTCGCGGGGTCAAAAAATGAGGGCGATGACTGTTCACAGGCGCTACAAATTTCACCAACTTTTACTCCAAATTAGACTTCTTTCTGTGTGTGTGTGTATAAACTGTCTAAATAGAAAAAATATAAAAAACGAAAAAAAAGAAAAGAAGGAGCTCTTGAAGAGAAGCCAATCTGGGTGTGCATAAATATACATATATAATCATCTATGGAGAGTTCTCAAAAGACAGGAGTACAGTTTAAGCATAGGAAAAGCAAAGCTGAGGTGCTTGGGAGGTATGGTTATTCCTCAATTTCCAGACGCCAGATCATTGAAAGAGTTGACAAAGTCTTACGTTAGAGATCATGTTAATGGAAATAAACTCTCAGTTCATGCAGTCTTTCTTTGTAGCCAAAACAGACTTTGACTCCGCCAGAGTATAGCTTGAAACAAAGACCACAAACTTTCCAGCAACAATGGCCTACGCTTTGGGTCAAAATACGCTCCCCTATTTGCGCCAGTGTTCTTACACTTGCTGCCGTATCAGTTGGCAATCATGTTTTCTCTCATAATATGATCATCCACAATCAGAAATGCTCTAGCTGCAGCCTGATCCATAAAATTACACTGCTTTTCTCGCTATTCATCAGTTCCAAACTTTATTTCATTACAGCAAAATCTATGAGATTTTGATTGATTGGTATATGGAATCATGAAGAATGCTGGTTTTTAAAACCTCTACTGGGAAGATAGAAGATGATAGCAGAAACCCAAGTTAACTTGAAGTTAATTTTGAGAGGAATTAGAAGCTTAACAGCTACTGGTAAGCTACATAATCATACAGCCAAACTTCAAGTACATCAAAACAGAGGCGTTTCAAGTTTTCTTGAGACTTCAGATGCGAGACGTGAGGTTTTGGCAATTGAAAAATATGCAAAGATGTGATATTTTTAAGCAACAAACGTCCAATAAACATTTTGCAAGTATTCATCCCAAAATTGAATTGTATTCTAGAGCAATACACTGCTGGATGTGGTTCTGGAATTGCAGAGTCACCCCATTTGGTATAAAACCCTATAATGGTCAAGGAGTGGAGGCACTGGAAGCTACATTTCCCTATGGGTTTGTGTTCAAGCACACCCACCAGAGAAAACTGATTGCAAGAGATGAGTTGACCATGCCAAATTCTCTCCATCTTATAACATATTTCAGTTAAACCAAGGTCACAGCTTATCATGTTTTTGCTTTAGAGCAATCTATAACCATTACAATTATCCATATTTTCCTTTATGTCTTTACAAGGAACCATGTCTCTTACTTGGCAATGTGTCATTCATAATCTACCATTTGACTTCTCAGTTGAGAGGAAAAGACTTGTTGCACTAGAAAAGAAGGAACATGCTTTCTATTGGATTAAAATAGCTACCATCCAACCTACAACAATCGGACAAAAGAATTCCTTACATTGTCCTATGATATCTATGGAGGATGCTGAAATAGATTCCATCTTCAAAAAATCAATTGGTAGACAAAAATAAATAAGAGACAAAGGGAAAGAGTCCTTAGTGACAGGAGTAATGCCGGGAAGTAAAAATCTCTAATCCAGATGTCGTTATTTTTATTTCAGATGAGCAAAAGAATTGTCAATTACCTATTTCAAAATTGTTGAATCATGAATGGTCGAAATTCAGCAATATTTAGACTCTGCATCGAGCAATCCAATTGAACTGCAATTATACTGAATCTCCGGGTTCCCGTCCTAAACTTGAAACATGAGCTTCTCTAGCTTCTGTGGCCAATGCATCTCGAATAACAGAAGCCTCTTTCCCTGTTGAATTCTCCTCCAAGCTAGCTTCCCCATAGCACTGAGAGCTCTGATCATGCACCAAGTAATCTCCCACCAATTCACACAATGCAGAATCATCCTCTCTCATAAGCAAAATATTATGCAGAATCGAACAAGCCCCAATTATTGCAACCGCAGCCTTGAGCTCTTCCTCCATTGGTTTTTTCAAAATTCCCCAATTCTTCAAACTAGCAATAGTTTTCAATGCTGAAACATGCATTGCACTATGTGCCACATTGAACTTCCCTTCACTCGACCCGGGAACCACATTAACAAAAGGTACCATTAACCAAGGAAGCAAAGGGTACCCTCCGTCACCAACCAAATATTGATTTATAGCCACTCCATTAACAAGCACTGGACTTGAATTAAGTAACCTCCCTTCCTCAACATCATTATACAGAGTTGAAGCTTTAAGGACTCTAGAATCACCCTTATCTCCCTTAAAACCAGCGACAATGCTCAAGATTTTTGATGATGAATCTACCACTATCTGAGCAGCAACGCTGTCGATGCTTCCATTGTTTTCATTTACAATATTGAACCTAGTGCAGTCAATAACTCCGCAACAATTTGGTAAACCCGCCAATTGTTCAAAAGATAAAGACACTGACTTTAGCTCCTCTGGACTAGGAAACGCAACCCAAAATCGAAAATTGGTGCAAAGAACGCGGCACAAATGTTTAGCACAGAAACGAGTTACTGACTCGGAAACCCCAAATCTTTGAGCGATTTCGGGGTAACTTGAGCCCGTGGCTAACCTGAATAAACCAATACCGAGCCGCAACTCAGCCGATAGATTCAACGGTGAACCAACCGGGTCACGGCACTCTAGCAGCGGCTCGAGCAATCCAGCGAGCCACTCAAAGGTGGAAGATTTCATTCTAAAGCAGGCTTTGAACAAGTCAGGATCCCGAGTCAAGCCGAGTCTGACTCGGTCATCGCCGAGTCGATGTCCGAGTTCGGGGTCCCTGTCTTCAACGATGGGCTCAGAATCAGATTCTGAACATTGGGTTCTCTTCCGTTTCCTGGAAACAGAAACGAAGGAGAGAGAAGCGGCTATTTCTTGCGACGACAGCAGATAGTTGAGAACGGAAAAGAGGGTCCTATCGGAAACGAAATCATTGGAATGGGTGGAATTGAAGAAAATGGGAAGCAATAAGAGGAGTTGAGAGACAAGGGAAGAGACTAAAGCTGACAATTTCCGGGGATCCATAATTTGCCTTTTTGTCGGGGAATGCGGAATTTGGTCTTCTTGGGAATCGAGGTTTGTGTCAGAGAGTGTTGGGTGGGTGAATCAGAGAGGACCAAATACTTAGGCACATCTGGCTAGGCTGCTTGCTTGTGTGGACTTCGTACTTTTTGGAACCTTCTTTTGGGGCACGTGAGTTTCGTGAACTCTATATCTGTCAATGCTCCGTTACTTCTTCTTTTGCTCATTTCCTTAATGTTTTTGGGTTTATCCTTTTGGATTTCACTTCCTTTGGATGATCCAATGGGCTTTCCTCTGACCCAACAGGATTGAGTTCCAATTTGTTTGGGACAAATTTTACAACCAATTTTAGGACGCTTTGGATAATTATTAAGATTCAACATTCGATCCGTTCGATTTTATGATTTAAAAAAAAATAAATTAACCATATTTTTATACAAAAATAATTAGAATTGATTGAATTATAATAAATTGAAAAAATAAACAAGACTAACCTATTATGATCGATTTTAGTTGGGTATTCTATTTAAATGTGGGGTGTGTTTTAGGAATATTTTTAAAATATTAATAATATTTATACATACAATATATCTTTGAGGTGTTCTTTATATATATTAAACTACACGTAAAATATACTTAAAAATATATAATTAATGGTCAATTTTTCAATGAATTCAATTGTAAATTTTTTATACCGAAAATGGACTAAAATAATTGCGCAGACTATTCCTCTTAACCGATTGACATCAAAATTGATAAAATCGATCCAAATTAGTCGAATTTAATTAATTATTACAGTTTGAATCGATTAATACACATCCCTAATTAGTAGCATCAATATAATTTAAGAATACTATTCTTTTAAAACCTTGACAAGACATATAATTTTTGAAATATGGTAATAAGTAATTTTTGAAAGTATGTAAGGTTGCACTTGATTTGAGAAATAGTATTAAGAATAGAAGGCGGAGACAAATTTATAAGCATCTAAAACTTAGAAGTTGATATTAAACATAATGTCTAAAAAAAATTTTCAAAATTATTTAAAAATTCTTATTTTTTTTATTTTTAATCAAAGTTTTATATTTTTATTTTGAATTAGATAAGTTCTTATATTTTTATTTTGAGCCAAATAACCTTTTGTTATTAATGGTTGACTTAGTCAACTTATTACTTATCATTTCATATTATGTAACATTGACATAAATACACTGTCATGTTATAATGTATGGTAACATGACATATTGATATGATATGATAACACTATCATGTGATATTTTCATGTCAATATTACGTGAATATAAAAATGATAATTAATATTTTAATTAATAAATAATAATTAGTCAACTATTAATCAAAAGAATTTATTTGATTTAAAATAAAAATACAAAAACCTAATTAAATACAATAGAAAAATAAGAACTTATTTAATTTTTTTTATATAGTTCAATAACTTTTTTGAGTATTATGCCTTAATTAATCTATTTTGCAACAAATGAAAATCTCAAGTACCCATATTTGGTAAAGTACATTAACATTTTTTAAAACAAATAATATATAAAAAATATTAAATTAGGAATATATTTTTCTTTAAAATGGAAATAATTCTTCTATGTCTTTCAAACCAAGCGAAATCAAATGAAACCCAACACCTCTGGTGTGGTATATCTTCTTTAAGCACCAACAGCCATGGCCAAATGTGTTGAAATGATGTTGGGTGTTGGCACAACCCAAAACACCACACTGTGTCTTTTTTACTAAAAGCCTTGTTTGCCTCCCCACCCAGACCAAGGATTGGTTGGCCCAAATTCAGTCTTGACTCAGATAATAACACCCATCACAAAAAAAAAAAATAAAAGTAAAATTTCTTGCTTGCAAATCTTTTACCAATCCCTTCCTCCTGCCTCCTCCAACCATCAATGGGAGAGATCCTCCAGGGTTAAATGTATATTTTTATTAGACAAAAAATGAAAACAAAAGAGAAATGGGGCCCCTGGCAATGCATGAAAGCTACGTGTACAATAAAATGCCTCTAAGCACTTAAGACTCAAGACACCTCCCACCAGCACCACTCCTACTGACCTCACCCTAAATCTTAAAAATTAGACAAGACCCCATTTTTTTATTATTTATAATTTATACCTATTTTTTCAAAAAAAAGTTTATTACAAACTCAATAAAGGAAAAAATGAAAAGAAAAAAACAAGGTTAGAAACAAAATACACTTACTCTGTTTCCCTGTCTGTCTCTCATCCATTGCTCAGTGGTTTGGTCTTGTCCTATTCTGATAATTTTTTTTTTCTTCGTTCTCTTTTCTATCATCAGAAATGAAAAGTAACTGAAACACAAAGAGGAGGAAGAGAACAAGAGGAAAGTACAAAACTTCCCCAAAAAATAAGAAAAAAAAAAAAAGAACCCGAAGAAACGCCTTTGATTCCTCTCTTGACAACAGTGTCTGTTAATGACTTTTAATCTCAAAGACCCAATTTTTTTGATCGGTTTTCATTTCATCGTCTCAGGTTTTTTGTTCAGGTATTTTTCTTAATCCATGCGATTGTCTCTTAATAAAATATATTATCTTTAATGATCTAAAATAATCTGCTTTTCAAGATGTTTAGTTTTTACCCTTTATTGGGATTTCTTAGTTTTTGCTAATTTTCTGGTTATTTACTTCAATTTGCATGCGATTGTTTTGAAAGAATACGAGGGATCGAGGTCGACTCATGTTGGGTTCTTTGCTACAGTATTTAATTTTAATTGGGTCTTTATCTCAAGCATTTGCGATTTTAATTTTCCTTTTCTTTTTTTGAAATGAAATAAAATAAAATAAAATTCTGGTCAAATATTTGGATATGGGCATTCTTCAATTTAAGCATCTGATGTCAAATTTGGTAACTTTTTTAACTAAATAAAGGAAGAGTGGAGATTGGGTTTTCTTGTTTCAAAAACCAAAACTTTACTAGTGCAAGAAGCAGCTCACATGATTTCTAAAAGACCATTCTTTTGGGTTGTTTCATTTAGTTTAATGGGTTTGTCAATGTGATAAAGTTTGTGTTTTTTCTTGGTGCAGATGTTTTATTTTGCATTCTTAGATGGTTGAGATCCTGCTTCTTCAAATTGCATTTTGTTGATTTTGTACTTTGAGGCTGAAGAAGCGACATTTTGATCTATAATTCCTGCTGTCTCAGCATTTTAGTTTCCTTTTGACCTGCGGGTTTGCCTCAACGCATTTGGTGCAAAAGCCTGAATGTTCTTCACCAAAAGATATTGAACTCCTTCCTGTCTGTGAGCAGAAGCTAAGTGCTAAGGACCAGATTGTATGTGGTAATAATTTAATATCATTGTGCTTCTATCTGATGTTATTTCTTCAGTGTTCTTCAATTCTTTCTTTATTCTAGTTTTAGTTTGTAGCTGGTTATTGGATGACAATGCATGAAAATATTGATAAAGTGATGGTTGAGTTGTAGGATTGTAGCAATGGTGTTTCCATTTGTAATGGTGCCTAGCATTTTACTGCTTAATTCTGAACTTAATGTGAATGGTAACCACTAACTAGTTATAAAACTTTGTGATTTTGCACATGCATTGGGTGATTGTAAATTGTGTGTCTTTATATGTCAACATGGAAGGTAGAAAAGATATGGGAAGAACGATTGCATTGCTTAGCTTCCTTAAAGTTGGCATGAATTACATTTTAGTCATAATTATGAAGTTTAAGTGTCATCTTCGATGTGAATGTCTAGCGGATGAGTTAATGAAAAGGCTAGGTTAATTAGTGTTAAAAATAATTTACAAAAAATTTGAGATGGTTAGTTCTGGTAACATGATTTTGCACATGCCAGGGTGCATTTGCATGTATGCAATTCTGGACAGTGACTTGGAGATAGCTTGATTTATAGAGAATGCTCCATACAGTCAGAAACTGTGAGTTTCAGTTAGTATCCTTGCTGTAATTAATGTTGCATGAGAGGGACGATGCCAATAAAAGAACAAAGTAACAGCCAAAAGTATTGTAAATCTCAAGACTCTAGGATCTAAAATGTAAAAACAATAAAATATCTTGTTCAACTGGATTGAGTCATCTCAATATACTGATAAACCAACAATTATAATGTCTAAGGGAAGGGGAGATTTGACTGGAAAGACATAGAAAGTTGTTCATCATGGGCATTTTACTTTAGACTGCATGATTTACTGGAAGAAAAGTTTATCCTTGACCAGTGCTTCATTAGGTGATGCATAGGAAAGATTCAGAAGCAACCCCCTGTAGACATTCTCTTTGGCTTGATGTGTTCTGTTAATTTGTTTGTATTTGCTGCTTTCTACTTACAGGACTTTATGTCGCGGATCATCTAATATTTATGCTTGAAATGTCCATAACGGCTGAACCAGAGAAATACTGCCTTATGGATGCCATGCAAAAAGTCTCTCAGGATAAATAAATAGTCAATCAACTGCTTTCCTTATAAGCATATACCAGTCAATTGGTATAAGTTTATATCTAAATCTCTAATTGAGCTGGCATGTTAGAAACTAGAGCTGTTGGTACTCTGTTTTTGTTTTGATAGACCAATATTCAGTTTTAACTTCATTTTTTTATCTAATTAACCTATTAGGACTTCTTGTTGCTTGCCAAGTAACATAAAGTTATTCTTGCCTGCACCTCCTGTCAAAAATTAATATCTGTTGTCACTGAGGTAGTTATTTCTTTTGGGTTCAAGAGATTACTGGCTGAGGCTTTCATTTGCTAACATACGTGATACACCAAATGCAACCAGTCAAGCCTATATGACCTGGGAAAGCTACAGAACTCAGGAGTTTCTGAACTTATTTTGTAAGTTGGGATTGCAATATTGTGTGTGTGTGTGTGTGTGTGTGTGCTTTTTAATACTTTACATAATTTTCTTCCTTTATCGTTTAAACCCTCTCGCTCTTTTTTTCCCTCCTTTTCATAACGGAAATAAGTGACACTCGCATGTTGTCCCTATCTTTTCAGATTTCAACTAACAGTCTGAGTTTGTGTATCCCTTTCACATTTTGACCCGAGAATTGCACAGCTTGAACGGGCCTCTTTTTTTGGATTTTTGGAATATTTAGCATCTCAGACATATTTCTAGGGGGAAGATATTGTCCCTGATGCAAGGTCAGGGGGGTCCCATTGATTCCTTCCCTGAAACTGTTAACATTGATGAGGGATCTAGTCCCAATAATGCTAGTATTAGTCAACCGAACTCTTTGCATAACATGCTGAATCCTGTGGAAACTCGGTTATCCAATCATACAGTTTCTTCTGGTGGGACAATGCATGCAAATGCTGTTACTCCTGATGTTCAGAGTTTTAGTGGCTGGAGTTCGGGTGAACCGAGCTCTAGATTGAGACTACAAAACCAGGTGATGCAGGATGTTCTAAATCACCATGGTAATGATGATGGAACAAAAATGGAGTGTGGCTGGTCTTCTTCTTTTGGTGTTTGTGCTGGGGCTGCTCCAAGGTCAGAAGAAAGGCGGGTTGAACCACCAAATGTCTTTTTCCCTGGGAGACTGAATGGACGGAGTGGCAATCAGGTCAGAAGTGGGCCTATATATTTGCAGGGTTCCAGCTCTAATCATATCCCACAGGGTGTGAATCTAAATGAAGGATTTATTAGCAGCAGTGGTAATGGAGGTTCAGTTGTGGGAACTGGTCTAGGTCCTAGTCTCTACAGCTCAGGTGGACTGGAAAGAGAGCAGACATCTAATGCCTGTGTTTCTTCTGATAATGTTGGTAGTTCATCTGGAAGCTCTAATTATTTTGGGGAGGAAAGCAATGATGGCTCTGGCTCTTCCTTGGGCAGTTGGGGTTTATCCTGCAAGAGGAAGGCCCTTGAAGGCACTTCTGGACAGTCTTATTCTGCTGGTACTTCAAGCTGTTTTCAACAACTTGAGAATGCTGCATGGCATAATGGCCCTGCTCGTAATGATGCTTCTAGCAGCTTGAGTTTATCTACGCCCTCTCGGAATTTCCTCAATGTTAGTCCTCCTGATCAGCCAAATCCAAGAGTTGGGCTTGGTATGAGAGGAGTAGTTACTGATGCTTTTCCTTCTTCAAGTGTAAGAAGAGCAAATCTGGGAAACCAACAAGAATCTTTACCATTTAGTTTATCATCGACTGGGGTTGCAGGGCATTCTAGTTTTGGCTCTCCTACTCAATCTAGATCTTCCCCATTCAGTGACTCTTTAGACTTGAGACCAACAGCAGCAATAGCTGGAAATTCCTGTTCTCCCCCAACTCAACCTCATATGAGGACTATTTCCTTTGTGCCAAGAAATGTGCATCCTTTTGCTTGGAATAATTCTGCCAATTCTAGAACTGGCAATCCATCAAGTTCTATTAATTCTGGAGAGAGAGCTGCTGCACTACGGGATGAACCCAACATAAGACATATCCCAAGAAACAATGCAGAGCATCCTATGTTTGTTCCAGCAACTGAGATGAGAAATGTGGCACAAGATCCAGCAGGTTGGAGTTTGGCTTCTGGAAATATTAGCACTTCTGGTGGTGTTCCATCCTCCAATCGACCTGGTCCTAGTTCAAGCGTCCATCCTTTGCCCACTCCTGCCTGGATTCCTCCTCACAACCCTTCAATACATAATCAACAAAGACTATCAGAATTTGCTCCTTGGTCTTTATTTCCACCAATTGATTCTGAATCTGGTGGTCATAGTGGCCATTTCCCACCATTGTCTTCAGCCCCGTCTGCATCCTCACAAGAGACAGTGGTGCCATCTGGATCTAATAGCCAAGGTAATAATCAACCATACCCAAGGTCAGCATTCTTATTGGAGAGACAAGGTGATGATGTTCTAGGGATGCCGCAGTCATTGCGGGCTTTGGCTGCTGATATTGAAGGGAGACACCGACTAATATCTGAGGTTTGTCTTCTGAAGATTTTTTGCAAATCTTTAACTTCATTGCCTCTGTACATTTATATGTCTAAGGCTACCTGAATAGGGTTTGTTTTCAATTAATTTAAATCCTGAATAGTAACATATTTGGCTTTCTAGATAATGATGATTGTTAGGGTTCTACAATTACCATAGTTATTCAGTTATACTCTGAGGGCATTGTTAGTTTTCTGTATTTAGTATTGTTTTTATATGCATATAAACTTACACTCCTGTTTGCATACACATGGTTTATATATTCTGACAAAAAAAAATAAAATATGAACCAATTCTAAGAGGACATAAGTTTCATTTCTTAACTAAATTGCTGTTGATATGTTCTTGTCGTTGTCCTCATTTCGTATTTGGTGTTCATCTTATCACAACTTCATTTTGGATAAGATATTTAGAATGCACCTTACTGTATTTATTAATTTTTGCTAGATTAAACTGTCAAGAAGGACACATACATCTTCATAGATTCTTCTCTTTCTATGTTTTATATTTGATGTTCTCCCTGAAGTATCAGTTCTTAGGTATTGTTTTATCTAAAACTTGTGTCCACCTCATTTTCATCAAAGATTGCTTCATTTGAAAATTATATCACAATCTTATACTTATTTTGTGAATTAACTTGCTGTCTATTCTTTCCCCCTTCTGTTAGAGCTTCACACTTGATATCATTGGCACTGTTTATGATTTGCGCTTTTGGAATTGATCATTGCAGTTAACATGTCATATTAGTGCTTACTCATATTCTGATGGAAATTTTCATGTTCTGGAATATGTAATCTTCAAATTTCTGAAAACATAAATTCTAAGTTTATATGATATTCTAGCATTAATATTGGAATGTTATTTATTTTAGGGGAAAAAAAACAGCTAAAGGAAAATATGAACATGGTTTTGTTCTAAAAGGAAATAAGACAAACTGGTAGCAAATCAGGCTCCATATCTCATCATTTGTGTGAGCGATTTTGCAAGCTGCTTGGCTCATTGATATGAAAAATTTTGCCTTTTAACACTTTTTGCAAGCTTTATACTCTAGATCCCCGGTTATTTCATCTTTCATATCTAGTCTGTATTTATTGTTTAATCAAATTATCTGTTGCCATTAGTGCTTTTATCTGTCCAATGCATATGGGTCATCTTTGCACCAATTTTTGTCCTTGACTGTAACCTGTTGCAACCTTAATATTTGATTAAGATATTAAGTCTTGAGCAGTCTCAACCTAGCAAAAATAGGGCAGTTTGACATTACTTTTCCATGAAATTGTTATAATAGATTGAAACATCCTGATGCAATTTTGGATACTGCAGCTTTTTACATTATATTAAATTGACATTTATGATGGTCATGTCATACCCACTTATTCCTCTATCTCTCTCTACTAAAAATGCTCCATCTTGCTAGTTCTCTCTTTTCTCAGGCTATGTTCACTTTTGTGTGTTTTTTCTTCTGTTCCACTTTGTTGTATGTGGATGATTTCTGTTTACCTCTTCTTTATTATTTATTTTTTCAAGAGAAAAAAGAGCTCAAAGCATCTCCATTTTGCTCAATTTCTAATTATGCAATCCATATTTGTTACATAATCTGTTAAAGTTATGGAAATCATATTGTTTGCTTCTTAGCTTACATAAGCTGCCCAATTAACTTTGAGGTGAAAAATATATGTTGGCAATTTTGTTGTAGTAGTAAAATTAGTATTTTTTATAACCACAATGGCTTGGTTTGGCAATTGAAATTGAGAAAAAACTCCAATAACTTACTGCTCATTTCCTTCTCCATGTGTCAGATTCGTCAAGTCTTGAATGCCATGCGTAGGGGGGAGAACTTACGAATTGAGGTTTGGTTTTTTATTCATGCAATGCTTATGTTATGTTACCATGACAATTTTATAATTTGTTGTGAACTCGCAGTAGAGATTTTTTTTTTATATATTTTTGGCTACATTAACTATAATGATTTAGCTGGCTAAGGTTGAAAATGATTCATTTCCTTTTCCTTTTGCTTTTCTCTGGCGACAATTTTATTCATTGTGGGAATAGGTCATATGCTTTATTTGCAAATCCAATCCTTTCCCAAAAATTGTTCTCTCATACCATATTTTTCTAAATACAATTAAGCTGCTATAAGAGCCTACTTCAATGAGTTTCTATTTCTTTGAAAATTATTTTGTTCCTTGGGGACTGGATCGAAACTTGGTAGCTTCAAACAGTTAGGGAGCTTTGTTCGAAATGTATGCCATCTCTTTAAGGAAATTGATAAAAGGTGCAGACAACTTGGTGCTGATGAGCAGAAACAATATCATTCTCATTCTTGATCAGCCTCCTTTCACTAGTTGAGAAAAATGAATATGTTGTTATTGTGGAGAGCAAATTCAACATGCCTTATGTTATCAACTTAAGTCTTTTTTTATTGCACTAGCTTAGTCTTGAATAATCTGTGAGAGTTAAATAGTCGGTGCTGAACATATTATGCCAATAATTTGTTTCGTGGTAGGTTTGCAAGATTTCTGTTGATCATTGTCTAGACTGCTTTAACATTTGAACATGCTAGTGATGTGGGGATAGGGTGATGTTCCCTTGCATTAAGCCACGTTTCTATTCGTTGGCTAGTCTTGTTTTTTTCGTCCATCAGGTCATATGCATGGCTTAGCGTCCTTTAAGCAAAAATTTCTTGCAATCTCCAAATCTTTACTTAGCATCCATGTTTGAAGAAAAATAAAGTAGGATGCTGCACCCTTTGCTCCCAAAAGAGAAAAAGAAACAGGTCTCACCTTTGAGAATACGTGTCTAAATACTCCGTAAAACTATTTCTACCAAATGAGAGATTTACGGCTCTTTTAGTGGAGCACCTGGTTAGAAGCCTAGAAGGTGCTCCATTGTCCGCTAATAATTCTTAGTCTTTTCCTAGATTATGTGCGGTTATATGACATTAGATCTTTTTTTGATGACCTTTCAGGATTATATGCTGTTTGATCCGTTCATATATCATGGCATGGCTGAAACTCATGACAGACATAGAGATATGCGCCTTGATGTTGATAACATGTCTTATGAGGTAAAAAGGGCTTGCTTTTTTATGCCTGTCACTTCAAATTGAAGGTTATTCTTCTCACGTAACAATTCCAACATTAGGAACTATTGGCGTTAGAAGAACGAATAGGAGATGTGAGCACTGGGCTGAGCGAGGAAACCATTCTGAAGTTGATGAAACAGCAGAAATATTCATCCACTACAACAGAATCCCCACAAGAGTTGGAACCCTGCTGCATCTGTCAGGTATGATTTAGATGAGAGTAAATGGCTGCTTTAAATAGCTTTGTTCAGCTTATCTGTCAGCTTATTGTTTCTTTACCTTGTTGGAACTTCAATAATGGCAGGAAGAATATGCAGATGGGGATGATACTGGGACACTAGATTGTGGTCATGACTTCCACACTAACTGCATCAAACAGTGGCTAATGCTAAAGAACCTGTGTCCTATTTGCAAGACAACAGCCTTGCTTAAATGAGAGCCAAGTCTGTTGTTAGAGCAAGAAATTTAATTTTCTTCTCATGGGTCATTAGATCCAATAATAGGATGGATTATATCTGATTTAAACCGGCTTCTGTTAATGTTATAAATTACGGGATGAGTTTGTGGAATAACTTGCATAAAGCATCATGACAATTATAAAATATTTGAAATAATATTTATGACATTATCAAGTTTTAAGGTCATCAGTAGTTCATTGTTTTTCTGCAACAACATATGAATGTGCTATATTGTTATGAACAGTTGACTTTGTATGTCTGTCGAGCACCCTGCTGTCTCTTCTGACTATTTTATGGTGCCTGTGTTTACTACCCAAACCAGTTCCCTTACAGAACCAAGTGGGGCGCTCCTATCTTAGCGACACTGGAGAGAGATGGCTGTTTAGCTAACTTCCTAGTCCATGATGCTGCCAATTGTGCTTTCCCCTGTGATATTTTGAAGCCATTTCTTGGGTTAATTTTTTTTTTAATTAACTAAGCTGGTGATATAATTAGCCGGTTATATAAGGGAAAAGCTATCAAGTACTATAAAGATTTAATTAGACGTAGCATTATATTTTAAACTTCAGTTCACCTATTAGAAATGATCATTTTACATTAATATATATTTGATGTATTGACAATGAATAAATTTTATATATTATAGGTTTAATATATTTTTATCTTTATTCATTTATGAAATGATACTTTGTAATTAATTGATATACATGGATGAATGGGATTTTTCTTTTAGTTCTGAGGAAAGAAGCAGAGCATGGAACATTGACATTAAGAGTCCATATTTTGACCATAGATCAATCAAATCATTAGCTACTTATTATAGCTATAAAATTTGTTTGGTAAACTATTAACAAACTTAGTATTCAATCCAATCCTACAGCAGAATTGTAAATTAATTTGTTAACTTTATAGTATAAAAAAGAAAGAAAAAGCACCATCTGCAGTTTCACTGAAAGATTCTCGATGATGATTCTAGGCTTTAGTGGTAAATAACGGACATATGAAATGGCTTGTGGCTGTTTGATGTGATGACGCATCCACGTTTTCTTTATTCTATCAAATTATAATACTACTTGTCTAATTGTGGATATATTATATATCATCACTCATCAACAGATGTAGCAGCCGTTTCTGTGTTGCGTGAACAGCACATTGCACTCTCACTTGCTTCTACACATAAAACTTTTTTCTTTCTGGGTAATTGCCGATGGTTTCACCTTAACTACTGGAATTTAGACTTAAATAACCCAAAGACCTATCCCCATTATTTATATATTTTCGATCAGTTGAAAGATGAACTGGTTTTGCTTGTTTGGGTAGACTCAGATAATGAAATGAATGCCTTCGAGCTTGGCATTGAACACCGAAGGGGTATAAGCCCTGCAAGAATATGCTAAGTATAATGGGATAGGATTAACAAACCCATTTTCCCTGTATTCATTTCTGAAAGATTCACAATTACTCTAAACCCTTTACAAATTTCTTTCCGAAGAAGAAGACAAGTAGAGTAATTAGTGAGAGAAACACTGGGGGACGTAATGTAAAACTGGTTTTATGGCAAATGCCAAAGTAAGGTGGGGCCCATCAGTCGGTTGTGGGACCCTTGGAAGGGAGAAAGAGAAAGAGATCTTTGTTGCAACGCGCTTCAGGCTAAGGCCCTATATATATATATATATATATATATATATCCGTTTTTGTTTTGATTCTCAGTAACGGCGCATTGCCTTATGATTGTATTTTGGGCTCTTCCTTCCCTTCCCTTCCCTTCCCTTCCCTTCTCCAAGCACAATCCCCCTCTCCCTCTTTTTCACCTTTTCTATCTTCCTTCTTTGCCACCTTTTAAACACCTCCTCTCTTCTCTTCTTCTCAACTCTCTCTCTCTTTCTAGCTTTTGCTATACCCAGATGTCTGAAGAAGGCGGCCATGATAGTTTTTGGTTATGGGATAGCCAGTCATGGGCTTTGTCCAATTCAGATAATAATTCAGCTGGTAGTGAAGAGAAATCAGGCAAGAACCTTCAAGAACAAGAAACTTTACGTGATGAGGCCAAGAAGAATAAGAGAGGCCGTGGAGGAGGATCAGTAGGAGAGAATGGGAAAGGAAGTGGAGAAGTGAGCGAAGGGAAAGGAGGAGGAGGTGGTGAATCAGATCACGAGATGCATATATGGACAGAAAGAGAGAGGAGAAAGAAGATGAGGAACATGTTTGCTAACCTTCATGCTTTGCTTCCACAGCTTCCTCCTAAGGTAAGCAAAAAAAAGAAAAAAACACAAAACCTTGTCAAGATTAAATTAAGGTCGTTAATAACAAAATAAGTGATGATACTTTATTAGAGGGCATGCTGTTGAAATGTCCATACGTTCTTTCTTCGTGAAAAAGCAAAATGAAAGAAAAAATGGTGCTGCATGTATACCCTTAGTGCAGCCCAAAAATGCACAAACCCTCACTTATCTGTTTGTTTCTAAGTATTTGGGTTCCTAACAAGGTTGTTGGCAGAAGTTACCTACGTGTATTAATAAGTTTTTGACAAATTATGAGCACTTAATAATTACGAGGACAAGGGGAAGAAAAAGTACACCAGGCCAACTAGTTTCGTCTTTCTCAAAAGAAAGTAAAAAACGTGTCACTTATAGTTTCAGTTATTGAAAATGATTAAATGAATATATGTATAGTCAGATTGCTTCCTTTATTTGTTTATGATTAACATGGAAATGTATTTATTGGAGCTGAGTTGTCATAATCTGCAACCCAATTCCAATTGACGGTTAGTCTGAACCTGCACGCAGATAAATTCAAAATGTTTTCAGCATATGATTGAAGATTAGGATTTAATTATTGCCCTGGGGCCGGGTTAACTTCATCGAATTTATTCTGTACAGGCTGACAAGTCGACCATAGTTGATGAAGCAGTAAACTACATCAAAAACCTACAACAAACTCTCCAAAAGCTACAGAAACAAAAGCTGGAGAGGCTCCAAGGTGCCATTAATTTTGGTTGTGAGCCCTCCATGATGACCACCCAAAAGCAAGCTCTTGATTCAAGGGAGGCATTCCTGGCTGATCACGTATCTTCAAGTGACCTGGCCAATATTAGTGCAACCAATTTTTCGAGTTCTCTCTCGGTCTCTCAGTTCCCTGTATTATTTCAAACATGGACTTCCTCCAACGTTGTGCTGAACATATGTGGTAACGAAGCACAGATAAGCGTTTGTTCAGCAAAGAAGCCAGGGCTCTTCACCGCTATTTGCTATATTTTGGAGAAGCACAAAATAGAGGTGATGTCTGCGCATATTTCCTCAGATTCTGATCAGAGCATGTTCATGATTCAAGCGCAAGTGAGTTTGTACTTCATTCTCTGATCTCTGCCTCATATATTTTCTATATTTGTAGCATAATTTGCTACTTCATGTCATTTAAAGATGCTGGTTGCATGCAAGTTTAGGGTAACAAAATGCATGTCACAACCCACTTCTCATAATTCCGAAGGCTATTTCATGGCTAACTGCCCCAGCTTTTTTGTGTACCAAACTTCTAATAGCAAGAGATTTTTCTTTTAGACATTGTTATGAGCAAACAACAACCCGAAATACTGATTTATAGTACGTGAAATGTAACTCTTAGACTGGAAACTTCTGATGGTCGTAGCGCACTGAGAAATAGCTCATCTCCTACTGGAATTAATGTGTTATCTAAATTTCATGACCTAGGGCTTGTATTAAAGGATGACAACCCCTGCAGATACAACTCTAGGTAGCTTTGTTTAAATCCCTCAGATTTATAGGCAATATCCTTTATGCATTGGAAACTTACCCCAAAAAAAAAACGAGAATCTTGATTTTGAAATATTCAGGATTTTGTCTTCTGAATTCCTAATTAAATAAGATAGATCATATATAGAATAACGGCCTTTTATTAAATATTACATTAAATGTTAAAGCACCAACTTACATCTATCTCATACCAATTCTATGTTGGGTGTATTGGGCAGGCTGGAGGAGCTTCCAGTCAGACGTTAGAGGCCTTTCAAGCCGAAGAAATGTTCAAACAAGCTGCAGGTGAGATCATGTGCTGGGTCTCTTCCTGATCATACCAGAAAACTTGGCCCTCAAATATCATTTCTTCTTTGGGTCAAAGCTACCATAGATGGAGTAAATCTATCGCCATTGGAAAAGATCCATTTTTTACCAACTAGCTAGAAATACTCTGTTCTGTTGAAGCTTTTTATCTGTCTGTGCTTCAAGGTAGCTTTGTTTGTTCGAAGTTGCAGCCTTTGGATATGATTTCTAGCTGCCCTCCTTCCGTGGTCTGTACTCAAAGGCTGCAATCTCCAACCTAGCTATATATAATTGTGTTTTCCATACAAGTACAGGCTTTTGTGCTTCGCCATAGTTAGAAATATAATTATTATGATGAAAAAAAATAGAGAGAGAGAAAAACAAAGATATTTCGATGCATGAAAACATTATCAGCCTCTCTCCCCTCATACTTCACTGATAATTATGACAGACAAATGATGCCGAACTCTCCAACTGTACATGTATAATTAATTTGGCACTAGTACGGGAAAGAGAGATAAGTTTCTGATTAGCATGTGGCATAAACTTCACTATCATGGTCTTTTGGTCGTAAATCTGTTTATTTCTTATTCTCTTGAAATGATTATGAGTGAAATACTAATTAATTTGACACCAATCTGTTGTTTTGGGCCATCTTAACCCGTCTTTGAACACGGTATCCTGGGTCTTAGGTCCTTTCTAAACTTTTCTTCAAATAGAGTAATCTTTTCGGGTCAAGTTCTTCTCATGTTTTGTGGATCATATTCTACAACCCAAACAGAGATGAATTGGGCTAAAAAATGGACGTATCAATGTCAAGATCAGGCTTATCTAAGGCTCCTCGGCCCGAAATATAAACAAAGACTAGGATATCTTTGTCTTTCAATTCTGAAGTTAAGGAACTCCTCAGTAAACGAAATCCCAACGTCAATATCAAAGCTTAGCTTGGGCTCCGAAATGTAAAGCAGGAAGAGGAAGGGCAAAATCAAGGATTAAAACTCTTCCAGTTTATGAATTGTTGAGAAAATATATATAAATATCCAAATGTTGAATAATTTGGAATCTCTTTATAGCAGAAGTATGTAGCAACAGTGCAAGACATATATTTCTTGCCGTGTACGAGGTTTGAGAAAACGAGGCGTTGTTTGTTCCATTGTTCACAAATCACAGCCTTGAATGAATAAACCTTGGTAATTATTTCATCTTTTCTACTCTATTTGCTACCATGTAACACAAAGGTGACTGATCAAATCAATCACGAACAAAGATTAATGGGGAAAAGAACTGTAAAAAGAAACAAGGGAAACTTGTTATTGCATGTTCCAAAGCAATTCCTGTGATGGTAAACCACAATTTGATTCTGCCCGAGTTGAATCATTGTATGTACGAAATTGGCAGGCCTTGGCATTGGCAATGCTTAATGTGTTCATGTTCTGGTTCTGGGTGTTTTCGTGTAATGCGTCAAAAACACTTGTCAACTTCTTGATGAAGCTTTTCTATGGTTGTCGTCAACCTAAGCCTATCCGGAGAGCTATTTCCAAAATCCACCGCCATAAAAACTCTCATCTTCTGCAGATTATTTCCAGGTTAAACACCCCCCATGATTTGGCAGAACATGGGTAATTCAACAAGCGCCAAATTCAAAAAAGTTAAAAGGGGAAGGCATTAATGGTTGGGTCCCAAGTGCT